TCACAGGATTGTCAAAAATAAGTTCACAATCATATTTCTCAGGTCTAAGGAATGGATCAAGTTTATATAAAAGTGGTATAAAAAGTATTTTATATAATTTATATAAAATAAATATTTGATGGTAAAATTTAAAAATTCCACAGTGAATATCTGTGCAATTTTCATCAAGGTAGTTTCATTACAGGAAACAGTTAAATAGAAACGGCAGGCCAGCACCAACCTATCAACCACCACCATCACAATTATGCAAAAAGAAAAAAATCACAAGGCATTTCACTCGCTCAGCCTACGAAAATATCAATGTTTATTCTGCCACCGAAAAATTGAACTCATTGTTGTATCGGTCATGTTTGCTCTTTGGTCACGATACAGATAAAGCCACGAATAAGAAAATCGGGATACAAAAATTGTTAAGTTTAAATTAAGATTAAGTTAAAATTAAATTTCACTTAAGTAAAAATGCATGTCCACAACAAAGTTAATTATTCAGCCATAACCGCAACATCAAGTACTGAAATGTATAGCAATTCATAAGGCTAAACATTTATTGGAGACGCTGAAAAACGATATGCCGGAACTCAGGAACACAGGTTAACGTTGTCAAAGGTGAAACTCGCGAGGAGAGGAATGGTGGATATAAAATCGACTGACGATTTTTTTTTTTTATCAGAGGTCATTAGCATGGATTTTAGCATTTTAGAATTAGAATCGCAGACGAAGTATAACTCGTTCATTTTCTTATTTATGGATTACCGAAGAAATTAATTGGTGATCGCAATTACATGCTAACGCGAATGTAGATTTTGAACTTTTTGAGAGATAGCTTGCTTCGCTCTGAGAAGTCATTATCCGATATATTGATAAGAATATGATTGTTTCCATTGGTTTGAAAGCAAAGACATGTGACTGTTACGTAGGAGGTAAATTATGTCTTAAATCAAAATAATGCTGTCCCAAGAATTTTGAATGTGGAAAACATGAAAATTAGAAAAATAAGTTCGTGGATAGAACCAACGAATGCAAATGGAATAGCAGAAAACTCAATTGAATTCCATTTCGTTGCAGAAGTGATCACGCCGTGATAGCGAAAAATGATCTTACGAAGTCCTATACTGGAGTAAATGAAATATAATCATAAGATTCTGTGTGTGTTACCCATGATTTGGGTGATAAAGTTGGCATAGGTAGAAATAGTATCGACAGCAGAATCAGGAAGAAATATGCATTCTGATTTCATTGGAAATAAAAACGTGTTTTTATTTGCCAAGAAAACACTATAACGACACAATGTTATATGTACCTAATATTAATACTTTTTTTTTGCGTTTAGTCTGGTGAAGAAAAACAAGAGGACTGTTCTTGATAAGGTTCAAAAATGTATGACATGGATTCTACTGACGAAGATAGTTTTGTCTTCAGAAAGAACGTCGATATGAGAAAAAAGTTATTTCATGGACTTGAATTACAGTACCGACGCTAAACAAAGCAAAAAAAAGGTAGCAAGAAAGATGCTTCAAATTAAATTAAAAATGGTGTTAACTTGTAGAACAGAAGGATATGACACATAAATGATTACATCGATAAAATGTCAAAGGACCGTTTTTTCAGAAGGCTTGGATATTTGCAAAAGGAACATAAATGTTGAGAGAGTCATATATGAGGAAAGTTCACGAAATTGACATTTAAGAGTGAGTGGTAAGAGTACCAAATTAAATGCTCAGATAGATTTACAGAATTTATAACGAGAAGTGAGAAAGAAACTGATCACAAAGTGAAGTGTAATAATCGTTCGGATAACAGCAAGGACATTAATTAACATAGTCAATTTAATTTTTAACGTGCATGGTTGCATGGTTTGAATTACGTATTATATTTAAAAGAAGTTATTACAAGCTTACAGTACACGGTACAAACCAACGTCAATTAAACCATATTCATCAGTATGTTGACACTTAACAGACGCACTGTTCCTTCAAATGCACATCACGTTCCATCAAATGCAAATGCAAATGCCTCAAGCATTCGCACAGGACAATGCCGTCTTCAGTCTATACACACTTAGAGGACCCGAAGCACATGCCTGAAAAGAAGTACAAGTTCACACATGCGCGTACGAGAGCGCGAGTGCGTGCTATCACGTTCATTCACGCGAACCCATATATTCTACCTTCTAGTCACAGTCGTACCGCTAATTGTAGCTGCGAATTCACGTGATCTTTGCTTACCATAACATTTTAATGATCTTACTTGTTGAACGATGTATCAATCCATCACATGCCATCAGTGGTATGCGTAACCTCTGTGATAAAGAGTTATCGTTTGTGCATGGCATGCATAACCCCGGCGATAAAAGTAGCAGTTTCATGTTTGCGTGGTCATCGCTCGAGGAATGCAGTTTAAAATCGTTGCTTCCTTTTGTTAACACGAGTTCAGGTTAAAGACATTTTTTCCGAGGTCGGAACAACGCTCTATGTTCTAGTGCGTAGATATGTTTCCCAATAAAACCGCAAAGATGACATTAAAAGGCATGTGTAATTTGTAATTTCTATTTATTGACACCAGCGAAAAGGAATATTTGAACTATGGATTGAATATTGACTACTATTTCTGTACTTGAAGTATCACACAAAGAATTTTAGGACAATAGACAGCTGTTCGAGTCTTTTGCAATTATTTATGGTCTTTTCAGAAAGTATGTCTTCAAGAAAACACATTTTCAAAGAACACCAAAAAAAGTCAAAGTAGATCTGCATACACATTTCAATCTTTTCAAGAGTGCAAATTTTAAAGATCTCTAAACAAAGAAAACAAAAGGAGCACATCGTGCATTATTTACACGCTTAAATGGAAAATTACCGACAATTCGATGATGGCTGTGATGACGTAGTCTGACTGACCCAAAGACGTTAACAATCAATCGTTTGTCATCACAAACACATGCGGTGTAAACGAAACGATACAATTGTCTCCCAAAACAAAGAATGAAATTTCAGCTGACTCATTCGAATATCAACAGCAGGCCAGACCAGCAATCTTGAAAGGAGCACAGAAATATGCCAGTAAACGTCGGTCGCAAAACTGAAATTACGTTAAAATAATGTCATGAAAGGACGTTCGCATCTGGAATAAAGAAGAGGAAAAGTCCACACTGTCCAACACCTGCGTGAGAATTGACGATCGAATTTCGTATAATTACTCTCAGAATCTTGTGAAAAGATTCGATTATCAGTACGAAGCTGTGTCGAAACTGCATTTTCGTCTACATTCCAGTGAACTTTTTGGAAGAGATAATTACAAAACATTTTGTAATTTTCTTTAAAATAGAATAACAAAATAAGAGAGAGTGACAGTTTGTCACAAAAAAGTTTTGTTCAATTTTTGGATGCAGTACCATATTTTGAATATTTTGAATGAACGCTATAGAAATATACAAAAGTTGAAGGTGAGTCATATTTTAGTGATTTTGTTTAGATGGCTGTTTCGCTTCTCTCCTCTGATATTCTGAATGAAAAAGAGCCAAAACGCTCAATGGAATAACCCAAGCACAATCATCGTAGAAAGGCCTTCGTCGTTAATAACTAAAACTGATTAAGAGCACACCACACACACATAAACACAAACACCCACGAATTGTTTGCTGTATTATTTCTCCCAAACTGAATGCACTCTGCATGGTTATCTATTAAAACAAAGGCAGCGCGAATACAACTTTGGTCTCTATATTTCATTTAACTTTGTTGTTCTAAAATATGCATGAAGTTGAGAAGAGCATTCTTACTAAAACTTAGCGAATGCCAACTCTGCTTGAGACATCCAAATCATTATCGTGAAACAATTTTCGCAACAAACAACAAGTCTCACAGCAGAACGCCAATTATCGATACGCTATCTAACAAATTGCAAACCATTCCAGCCCGTGGACATCTTCTTTCGAACGGCCAAGTAAAGTGTTTTATGCTCAAATTGTGCAGGTTTTAAACATATTTTTCACTCAATTGTTATTAAACAAATAAAGGCGTCTTATCCGTATGTTATGACAAAGTTGGTGAGCAGGTTTTCATTTCCGGACGCCGGCATTATAAACAGCATAGTGTATATTTTGCCACTTCCTTTGGGGTTACAGACACACGTAAACAAAACGCATCTCACGGCTCACATAGTGCGTTTACGTTTTGAACTTTTACGTAGCAATTGCATCTGCCTTCTCCAATTGAAGGGTTCGGATGGAATTCATAAAACCCATGCAAAAATGATTTCATGATATATGCAAGTCAATATTTTGTTGCAGTAAAGTTAAAGTGTGATGCATAAAAATTATAACACTCAGGAACCTACAAAGATCCACAAAGCTTACTATTCGTATTTGGATACCATTCTGCATGGGTAACATATTGTCAAATCAAAAATATCACCAAAAGTATTTTGTTGAAGGTTATCATATTCAACGCTCATGTTCAACTGATAGGAAAGCAATAAAAAATATATGATTAAAGTAAAAACACCAGATTTTAGGCATTAAATAACAGAAAAAGTTTATCTAAATGCTGTTGATTCGCAGAGATTCACTGTAGTTTTGTTTCCATTACGTCCAATTATTAAAGTATGTAGGCTGACAGTTCATTAAACCTGATCGATCCTACCATTGCAGCAGATGTGATGTTTTTCTTCATCAGCAATTTATTATTTGTTAACATGCAAATGAATTGATCGTCATGCTTGTTTAACTAGATTGATTTAATATAATAAGGAAACGAAAATACACGGTTAACTAAATTGATGTACTACTAAAAACAACATTCGAAACAAAAACACAACTTTTGAAAACCAGCAAAATAATAAGACTCTTTTGTTCGCGGTAGCCCCCAACGGCGTTCTGCCAACAGTTAGAACGCCTGGCTGGTATGCGTGTAAGGTCGCCGAGATAAAAGAAATCGCGCGTGGGCGGGGCGGAGTGGGGCGGGGCGGGGCGTGCGAGCACACGCACTCACTCACTCACTCACCTGTCGTGAGCGGGCGCCCCGGAGGCGAGGCTGGGCGCCAGGCCGCTGTCCTCCCCCGCGGCCGCCGCCATCAGCTCGAGTGGCAGACGGCCGCCGCCGCCGCAGCCCGTCGGCCTCGCGGCAGCTGTTATCTCCCCTGCCCCCCTCCCCGCCCCCGCCCAACACCACACCACACCGCACCGCTCCGCACCGCTCCGCACCCCACCCGACGCTTCGCTCGTCAACCAGAGTGACACATCTGTCGTTAGTCGAGCGAGCGTTTTTCTCTTTCTCAGGACTGCGACACTGCGGTTCCGTCGTGAGGAATTAATACCTGTCGGCGGGCTGAGACTGATCAGTGGCAGCTAATATTACTATTGGGCAGCATTGTAGTTGTCTCTGCATCTTCGCCCACCGGGTGGCCGTAAGGTCGAGTCCGACAGTGGCTGAGTTTCGACACTAAGTACAATACAAAACTGTACTGCACCGCACTCCCCCCCCCCCCCCCCCGCATCACTAGGCTGCACCTCACTAGTCAACGAGAGTGAGACATTGTGCGGCTGACGTCACTTTTGTAGAGTCGGCGTTTTTCTCTTTCTCGCAGCATTTTTCGGACATTTTTCTTTCTCGGACTGCAATACAGCATTTTTGTCATGAGGAAGTAAACTCGTGTCGGCGTCTCTTTCGGCGAGCTGAGATTGACAGCATTGCCGTTGCCGCCGACAGGGCGGCCTTAAGGGGCGAGTCCCGCCGGTTGTGGATTTTCGACTCTACCTACAAAGTTGCTCCAAACCCACGCCCCCTTCCCCTGCACCCCTACACTGCGCGGCGCAAGCAACGAGAGTGAGACAACTGTTCGCCTGGGGTCACTTAAGTCGAGTCGACGACTGACTTTCTCAGGATTGGAACTAACCATTTCCGAACTGAAGAGTGAAATGCGTCAGCGTTTCTTTCCACAGGCTGAGATTGATCAGTGGCGGCAGTTTCGTTGCCTTTGTAGCGTCACTCACCGGGAGATCCTAAGGTTCCAGTCCCGACAGGAGTGGATTTTCGACACTGGCTACAAAGCTGGGTCGAATTCAGCTACTGTCTGGAGGAGAATTCCAGAGCAAGTGTTCTTAACGGTAGTTTCTACAATAAATACAAGGCGAATACTAAGTACTTCCCTACCAAATGGGCCATGGACAGTACACGATATTTCCTTCATCTTTCTCTCTTTTTCCCTTTACAAACGCACACACCTCCATGGACTACATCCATAGGTGTGCGCAAAGAAACTGGGAAGGGGGGGGGGGGTCTGTGATGAGCTTTGAACATTTTGAAAGTAGGTTCTGGTAGATCAATTCCTTCTCGCTCGTATTATCCCCCTATTTTCCAAGTATAACACTCTAATCAATATCACACACATTATACCACCTACATTACACCCTAATGTGGTTCATCCTGAAACCATTTGTAGTTTTGAAAAGTAATCATTTAAGTTTGAATTAACTTCTTTGAAGTATATTTTATTTGTTTACTAGTGAAATATGTCATTTCTAAATATACAAATATTCGATGGCGTACGAGTCCCAGAAATGCAGTTGCCCCCACTCCCCTCTTGCTTTAGGCTGGGCGCGCCTAATACTACATTGTTAAATATATTATTATACTATATTATTATTATAATACTACATTATTAAAAAATACCACACATGTCGGGAGCCTACAGCCGTCTAGAGGCGGTACCCGTCTCGAGGAGAGAAGCCCCTGCAAGCCAATGCGCAGGTTGGTGTCGGACATATCACAGCTGGGGAGGAACACGACCACCTGTTTATAAAAAGCACTACACTTCTCGCACTATAGATCACAGTAGTTGACGCACTCGGAAACCCAAAATTATCAATTGATCTCTTTTTTGGAGGACAGCATTTTGGACGTATGGAATTAAATGCGTATGTACAGGATGAGTCATGTAACAAGCAACATACAATACGATGAACAATTTATTCGCGTGTAAATAGCTTACAGTTGCTTCAGTCGCGGGTGGATTAATGCATATATGCAGACAAAGAACGTGCTTAAGAACTCCGTTGGCTATAGACCCGCAACAATTTTAAACAAAACTTTACAATACATTTGGTTATCAATATGAACAAATAGTTTAGCCTAACATTTTGTTCAATAACGTTACTATACATTTATTTAATTCAATTATAAACCTTAAACAATGTATTTAACAATGATAAATTATTGCAATCTGATTTCACAATTTCCGTATTTAAGTAAATCATTATGAGGAAGATAAGGGACTAAATATATTTTGAGGCAAAATTCATAATTAATTGTAAAATCTTTTCTACTTTATAACTTATTGCTAAGCCCTTCGAACTTCATGCCTGAAATCAATTCTATCATCTTCCCCTTTTCTACCATTAGGAAACAACGATTTACACATAAATTTCCAAATTCACGCTGTTGTCTGAGCACTTACAGATTGATGTCAAATCGATATAGTAATATTTTCTGACTCCAGATAGATATTTTGACTTATGCTTAGAGTGCTCCATTGTTTGTTCGTACTCAGAACCTCTGAAGGTAATAATCCGGGCCTGGCTTCATTACATCACAGTAGTTTGTCGACGAATTCTGTTATTTCAGGACTTCGTGCTCATGGTGAGCTGCCTCTGTAAAGAATACTGATAAATATACGTAGCAAGTGAAGCAAGGTACAAATACAACAGGACACATGTTTGTTGATTGAAGACTGGGACCGATCGAGACAAGTGCCAGCCTGAGCAAATTCGGGATTCTTAGTTGAACATCACGATAAGTCCTCTGTCAGGTTTCGGTATATTTCTTCAAACTGTGGCTAGATAACGCGGTCTACTCGATTTAGTTGAACGAGTCATTTTGTTTGTAGAAGAAACCTGAGAGACTTGTAAACCACAATCTATTAGTTTCGTATTGTCTCCGGCTCCCGACATGTTTGTCATAAAACTTGTTCTGATATTTGGATATTCTCGGATGTTAATGCAACCTTTCTGGTTGAGTGAAATAACAGGACTCGCGCACAGTTTGCCCAATGTGGTTAAGTTATTTATTTACTACGGTTTAGGGGTCCTTCCAACAGCTAACATAATTACAGTTCCTCTGTGTCGATTTAATAAATGCTGATAGCAATAATTAAGAGGTGAATGGTGAGAAAAGGTCGAATGAGATGCAGGGGCAAAAAAAGGAACCAGAGAAAACCTGTCTAGAGCTTGCTTTGCCCATCACAAATTCTAGAATTGCTCAGAGATCAAACCCCAGCAGTGAAAAGTGCAAGCACTAGGAATCTATATTACTAATTTCCTACGCGCCCGCACGGGGAGACATGTTTAGTTCATACATCATGTAGTAGATTCAATTAACCGGTATAGTACCTTCTGCAAGAATAAAGTGCTTAGTAACGTTCGCGAAACTTCTGTTTAGTTTGACACTAATGCACGTATAGGAATGTTCACTAAACAGGTCTTACCTTATGACGAATGGCATCTCGTATAAATAACTTAATGGTTCGAGAGCTAGGCTTCCGCGGCCGGAGTCAGTATTTACTAGGCTGTCCGGGTGACGCTACGTCCATGGCGAAGGTGCCGACGCGCATTACGTCCTGACGAAGGTCGCAGAATGGCGACCGAAAAGTCGGCACCTTCGCCATGGACGCGGCGTCACCCGGACAGCCTAGTAAAAAACTAAATCGTTCGCTTACTAAAGTGTTTAGTAGTGTGACTACATTAAACGTAGATCTCACCGAATGGTTTTATGTACAAAATAAGTATAGTACCTCTGACAATTCTCTTTGTTCATTCACTTACGATATTGAATTGTCTAATTTACTAAACGAAACTAAATCATGTTTAGTGAATTATACAACAGGAATAATTGTATTTACTAAATGATCGTTTACTAATTATGATTTATACATTCTGATACAGTGCAGTTCTACTCTCAGTGCAGAAATTGAGAATGGCTTATGGCCGTATGTGAGGTGTCAAAGGTAGTGTTCCACACAAGGAACTCGGCGAAGATTTAACTCACTATTTCACTCAAAAGTGAAAATATTTTATGTCATTCCGCCTGCTCTTATTCTACGCGAACCAGCTTAACTCTTAAGGCCTATTCACAATGCAAACGTAAACATAAGCTTAGCGCATGGACATACAAGTAAACATTAACATAAGTGATAGACTGAAGTATTCACAATGTCTAACATAAACCTAAGCAAAATAAGAGTTTCTATTGGCTTTACATGGGCTCAAGTAGCCCACACCCCACTGCAAATTGCACCAAATTTTCAAAAAAATAAAAAATAATTGGGCTTTGTGTTAAATATATATTATCAAATTACTCTCGAGCACTTTACATTAAGCCGTAATATTTATAGAAAAAAATTGTAAACATACTGATGGAAGTGACAATGCCTCGCTATTGTAATGTTATACTTCACATGTTAATGGTCACGTGATTGTTAATCACGTTTTACGCTACACTGCAAAAATTTCAATACACAAAAGACTCTCGCGAGTGTTTCCTCTCTCTCTCTCCCGGGAGAAATTTCACAATCGCAGGGGAAGAATATGCAATGAAGACGTCTTAATAATCGTACTTCAGTGTACATCTCAGAGAGCGCCGGAGCGTAAAGTGGGCCCTTGAATCTACATAAAATCATCAACTAGCATCTATTTGCAGTAAGCAAGAACGAACAAACGAACATTGTTTTTTTATAAATTAAATGTTGTTTTTTTTAGATTTTATGAATTAGTACAGAAAAATCTATGAAATAATTGAAAAATTAGGGCCCAGTAGCCCGTGTTGACGGTACTCCCAAAACTTTAAAATATGTATTTAAAAATCGCAGAGCTTCGAGTCAGCCAGATCTACCAACGAATATGCATTTTGAGAAAAAACCCTACGCATATTTTAGGCGATGTTGTTCGCAGACGGTTAATTGATTCGTGATTCCGGGCGCGTCAACTGCTAAGGTCATTAGTCCCGTATGTGCATGCTTTATCGCTGGTGGCGGCACCCCACTGGATGGTGAGATCCGGAGGTTTTTCCCACAAGGTATCTCCCACCAGTGGGGCATCTCCCCAGCCGGAACAAGCTCCAAGTTCCCAACATGTGTGGTAGTGTAGCAAGCGGTTGGATAGAAGAAGGAACAGGAAGGAGAGATCGCGCTTGGTCCGGGGTCTGTTTGCCAGGGTACAGCACTGGCATTTGCCTAGTATTCATCGAAGAAACCACAGAAATCTATATTGACCACAGAAAAAACATTAAGAACATAACTTTGTTTTATAGTTGCATATTAAAATCAACATGAAATAAAGAAAGACAAAATGCAGTTAACAGGTTTAATGAGTAGTTCTATGAAGGAATCACATACAATAGTTTTGTTGATAATGCTAAACAAAAAATACACTAAGTTTGAAAGGCATACATTCAATTACAACATACCACTTGAGAAGTTAGATACACAAAATATATAAATATTATTTGCTGTGACATTTGTACATTCAATGACAAACACTTTGTGCTTTAAAAAGTAATAATTAAAATATATACTTTTTCAAGAGACAGAACTATCAAAGAGAAACTATTGCTACCAGTAAAGCTTACTGCAGTTTGAACACACTGTTTGCACACACCAGAATCAATCACATCATCGTCTCTCATGTACAATCCACTTACAAATCCTTAAAACAGGAGAAGGAATTACCGAAGAACAATCTGGAAGAGACTCTTTAGTGGCAAAGACCTCTACTAAATCTCTTTCAAATCTCAAACATTCCCAATGACTTAACAATACATTTACCTACTATGCTGGAAACGATCTCCCGTAATGTCCATCACTTTGAAACAAAACTAAAACACATTGTAATGCTAAAAGTTAAAGTGGTATTAGCAATTGTCAATCCAAGTATATCAGACGTTATGAGAATTACTTCCTAGTAGAATTTGCTATGAAACCCTCAATCCTTGCAGAAAGACAATTTTAAATAAACTATTAACCCTCTAAGAATGGAATACAAAAAATATTTCTAAAAAAAACAGTGAATACATTATTGCTGGCTAATGATATATTTACTGTCTGTCACATCTGTTTGCCACTTTAATATACATGTGAGAAAACTATATCCAGTTATCTTCTAAAAATTAATTATCAGTTCACAATGTTGAAATAACCTATACAATGTTTTTTGTCATTAATTTTGAATTTTTTTTCTTTGATAAGAAATTGATTGTACATTTGCTTCTGTGAACTAAGATACTCATTGCATTGCTGAAAGTGTTTCGCATCTTGAATTCATTACTGAACTAATCAGGTGCATTTAATGATTTGTTACTTTATCTACAAGATGCTTTCCAATGGTATGTAATTAAATGCTCAATTGTTTTAATCATGCTTACATACTTTAAAAGATAAATAAAAATACTACAATAAGAAAACTATAAAAGTTTGAAAAAATTATTGCAGGTACCATATGCCAAAGCCACTTTCTTCGTCTTTAACATATTTGTCTACATCCAGTCCTTAGAGGGTTAATCACCAAAGCATCACTTTTGTAAGCATCACAAATGACCCAATACTGTGCAAATTAGTCATATTATTTTATTAACGACAGCCAACAGCTGAATAGTGTTCTCATCCGTGTGTTATTATGAACTTCTTAAAGTAACACTTTGTTTCTATGGATTTGTAATAACACTTTTCTTATATCAGGAATATATGTACAATTTAATAAGTTTTTAAACCTAACTGCAATCATGTATTATAATTACCAATTCTTAACATGTTTCTAAGGTTTGATTAAAAAAAAAGTAATAGAGCTACAAACATTTTACAATGGTTAATAATAACATTTTTTCAATATTTGATGGTAACACCAAATCAATAAATAACAAGGAGAGAATTTTCATAAAGTTGGAACAAACATTCATTGGCCAGCAGTTAATATATTAGGAAATGCAATAAAACATTTCTCTGGCTCTGCTGTAAATTATGTATTGAATGATACAGATTTACAACTTCAAAATGGAACTTTTATCACCAGTCTGCGAAATCCTCTTGTTGCAAAAGTAAAATTTGTTTCGTTATAATGTTATTATTGAACTTGTTGCATTAAAGGGACAGTGCTACTGATTACAGTCATACTGATTAACTTAAATTGCTTATATTCACAAGAATGGTATGTTTGATGGTCAATTTTGAAGAAAATCAATCATTGGATGTAACAAATGCATGTTATTTTTCCAAATATAAATTAATAAAGTTTGTGATTTACTTTATTATGAGAAAATAGTAGCACATTACTAAAATTGAAATGAATAGTTAAAACATTTAAAAACAAATAAATTACTATATCCAAGTATGAACGGTCACAAGAGCAAAGACAGCATAGCAAGTCAACATATTCTTACTCTACAATACAAAACTTGGCCGACTCAAGCACAATTACTTTCACTATTTATATGCTAATAAAATATCTGAATTCCATAGGAATCACATATTAATAATATTAAACATAAAACTTTTTCTTATAAGTTCTCGATACAAAAATGTACAGCATTTGCAAAGTCATAAGAAGTATTTCAAAGACATTTATTTTAACACTTAGTTATTCCTTGCATTACCTAAAATTTTGATTTTTACAAAATTAAATTGAATAAAATTACATTGAATACATCATAAATAATAATTAACATCAAAAGAGTTGGAGAAAAGATGTAAATTTTACATCTGGATTTTTGTACAAGGATTTGTACAAGGCTTGAGATTTCAGCACAGTCAGTGTGATGATGCAAAATAACATTTGCATACGAGGCAAATCTACCACTCCACATTTCATATATCCTTAATGCCTTTAAAATACTTTAATATAGCACCTTGACTTCAATCCATCTTCATTTGAAAATCATACCGTATACTACAAGAGTAAGTACTGCACGTTTCTCAGTATGTTCACAATAATAGTAATAAAGAAGGGAAAAAAACTTATACACGTGTGATAAGATCCTTTCAAATATAGAATAAATAAATTATTCTTTTTGCATATTGTGAGGTCTCTCAAAACTAACTTCATAGAAAAACATAAAATATGATTTATGTGCAATGGGTAAAATCCAAATACACTAGAATATAAATATATTATTAATATTAAATAGATAACATTTTCTTTCTTAGAAAATATAATAATTAATATATCACAAAGTAAATTATTTAAAATTGTATTTATTTGTAAAGTTATTTAAAATTGTAGTGATGAACTGGGAATTAGCTATGTCATATACATCAAGATGTGAAAATTCAATAAAATATTCTGTTCATGTACACAAAGCAGACAATTTAAAATGACAATTGCAGAGAATATGTACGATAAAAATTGAATACTAACTGAGAAGCAACTAGGAGGAAAGCTCCGTGCTCATATTTATTAAGGAATCAAAGCTAAGATTTAGCAAACTTCTGTTAAGGGGTACCAACTGGCCATTTTGCTGGCCATTTCATTTGTTGATGACAAAGTAACAAAACACATTCATTCTGATTTGTGAGGGTCTACAGTACAATTGAATGCAGGAAGAGTTCACAGAATAACTGTTTCATTTACTCATCCTGCTGATCAAAGGAAAAAATAGTCATAAGGCGAGTTCTCCCTTCCTTAATGCAATTTAAATATGTAAAACAATACATTCAGAAAATGTTTAGCTATAAGAACTTCCATTCTTTCCAAAAATAATATTATTACTTAATAGGTAACAACACACTGACCTAATTGGCATTTGGATAATTTTACTGTTTAAAAACAATAAAAAAGTAAAACAAAATAAAAATCTCCTAGTGAGTTCAACAAATATGAATATTTTATACAAACTTTAGATTGTAGCTAAAATGTAGAGAAAGTAATGATTTGCCATTAATTACTTTTCGATATTAACATATGTAACTACAAAAGGCAGTAACATCTAAAAATAACAGGTACTATCTGTCTTGTTCGTAAAGCTCTTAAAGAACATTATGGCAGCTTCTGGCCTTTTCTTAGTTACTTCTCAACAATTAATAGCCCCATTCCATAAATGCTTGACACAAAAATGATAAAGGTTTCTTGATTATAATGTGTTTATTAAGCAACATTCTTTCCTGTGCAGGTTCAAAAATATTCTGCAGTAATGTAATAGATATTTTGAGGCACTGAGAAATGTTTCGTAGATAAAACAAAATTATAACTGTCTTCAGTTTGACAATAATTAATGGTTTATTGTGCATTTGGAACAAGGCTTGTAATTTACAACTAATTTCCCAAGTAATTATCATGTCTTGAAGAGACAAAAAGCTTTACTAAAACTTAATGTCTTAGTTAATATTTAGATCTGAGTCCCTTTGTTTAAATAAAACTCACACATAATTTGATACTCTGATTAAAACTCTTATCTATGTGGAATATTACTATACATATGTACAAAGCATATTTATGGAGACCCATAAAATTTCACAAATAACCTAGTCACATTATTCTTCGCTAAAAAGAGTTTTTAAAAATACAAATAATTAAATCTAAGAAATACTCCATTACATTAGGTGTGACTTAGAAAAGTAATGAAACACTTCAGAGATTGCTTAAAAATTACACAGCCATTTTGATATAAAATACTGTTCGACACTGTCATGGGATTAAAATAAAACGCAAATTATCCACACTCATAAAAGAAAGTTTTGAAGAAACAGTAAATGTTGCAAAGAGGAAAGGTAAAGAATGATAACACATAGTAGCCAAGCAACTTTTGTTGATAATATGATTCTCACATACTGCGAGGTACTTGCAGTACCGATGAGATCAAGGACATTTTGCTCTGGTAATGTTAATTCATTTCTTTTCATGTTCAACTCTGACTGCATAAATATTCATCAATGCTAAACAATTAATTTACATTTAAAATAAACTGATATTAAAAATGCAATGCTTCCTAAATATTTAAAGCCTTCATTCGCATTTACAATTCTAATACCTGCTGTTGCACAGCAAGAAACACATGGAGCATTACAGCTCCAGGTGCCAATCAAAATTTCAAGGATCACATGACACATGCCATGTGCTGCATGAAACCTACAACAGTACTATATTACTTCTGCATAGGAAAAACTTGGGTAATCTTTCCTATTCCCTTGGTGCAACCTTCTCTAAAGAGAAGTCGCATTCCCACTCTCACACACTCTGGATGTCGTACAAAGCGAAAAAGAACGGAGGCTCTGTCATTGGTGTGGATTCCACCACAAGCCATTATACCTTCAATAACAGCAGTTTGACGAATATTGCCGATATGGACTGTTGTTTGAAAGCCTGCATAGATTGTAGTAGCATGAAACAGCACACACACTGTGGCCTGTCCAGAAACAAGATAAAATATAAGACGTGAAAGAATGGAACATTAAATTTAAACATAAAATAAAAATTATGTAAGAACCAGAAACACTTTTCATGTTCCATGGTTTGGCGATATTCTTAACAAATGGTTAATACTGAACATGGTTAAATTGACAAACATATTGAAAAGACCTTGTATGTTACTATGAGCAATGTAATTACACAGATGTACTCCGAAGTCCAATACTTAATCAATAATTCCAAAAGTTAATGAAAAAGTAGGTTCTTAATATTTTGTATAACCAAAAGTAATATTCATTACATCACTATGTTTCTTGGACCCTTCGAAAAGAATCAAACAGTTATACTGTGTACACTATTTTTATATAAATTCTAGATGCACCCACTTTTTAATTTCAATATCAATACTCTCAGAATTTGTTTAATAAAGTTTACAGATCAATCAAATCTATTCATAAATTCAATCAAATCCATATTAATAAAAGTACTCATTTTTGCAGTTAGTGTGTCAATAATTTTGTAATGGGATTAGTAAAAAATGCATTAACTACAATTGTATAATGCTATTAGGTTTTCTGATCATATATCAACTATCAGCAGAATGTGAAAATTCATCTAGTAATAATCAGTAAAAAGAAGTCTTGATAGTAATAATTACAAAATGGAATTATTGCTTTAGACAGTAAAACTGAAAAGTCAATTAGGAGGAGTTTTTTGTTATTTATTATTAGGAGGAGGATATTTATGAGTAGTTTTCTGTTATTGGCAATTTAAATACATTCATTACTTAAAAGACGAAGATATAACATTTCTTAAAAATTGTTGGAACTCTGTGTCCAGTGGAAAATTTAATTCAACTTCTCTGGCTCTTGATTATATGTCATTTAGAAAGAGTTTTGCAAAGCGTAGCATATAATGTTATCAGGCGCTCATATGCCTTGCAGCATGTGAAGTGGGGAAAAAAAAAAAGTGCACACTGTTTCCTTCTAAATGGAGGGACAACAGAGTACGTGCTAAATTCCCATAATACCACCTCCTAATTCGCATTTGTTTAGCAAGAGCTGCACACCAACCAATTGGATCAACCATTATACTATTCAATAAATATAATTACTATGTGGAGATATTTATATACATACAGAATAATGCCACCACATGATCATGTCACTTATTTAGTGTGCAAATGATATGATTACTCCCTACAATTCTGGAGCAATAGTTTTCAGCTATCACTTTAGCGTAACATCAAAATACGCATACGACAAGAGGCTCAAAAGAGGATTCGTAGCATATACATTGACATACTTCAAGCTGAGCAAAATCTCTGAAAAGTCTGAAACTTCTACATATGCAGTCTAAAACATGAGACTGGAACAATTCACATTTCTGGGCTCACTTTTCCACTACAATATTTCAAATTAAACATTTACATATTTTACCCAAATTAATTAAACATACTATAAGGAGAATGAAAGTATAAATTTAACAATCAAAGGGGAGCCATCCTCAAATTGTCAGGAGAAAAAAAGGAGATTTATGTATTGAACAAGTTTACAAAAATAAAATATTTTATTACACAAGGCTAAGGAGATCATACCAAACTTTTGAGCCCCCCCCCCCCATGCACACTCCAATGGTCAAGAATTTTGTCCAAAAGGGAAAGAAGGCTTTTCACGTTAACTATGAAAGGAATAACAATGAAAAGGTAAAGAGTTAATGAAACATAGTAAATTCAAAAGCAAATAGTATTAATACAAATTTTAATAATGCAAATCTATGTTCGTTGTCTTACTTTTGTGCTAAAATTTTTGTTTAAAAACTCCATGGTTATCCAGTTATCCAATTAATATAAAAAAATTGAATTGTGAATCTATGAATTCCTCCCTTACTGCAGCAAATTAGCAACACTAATAAAAATATTTGATGGTTTTGCTATAAACTAGCAGTTGCCAAACACTTTTAGTATTTTTAATTACAAAGAAATCATCATAAATTTGGTACCCTTTATGGAATGCTAATAAATTACCTGAAAAAACAAGCATCCAGCAGGAGTACAGTCCAGACTTTGAAGTACCATGCCAGTTCGAAGACCTGGAACAGTCTGATCAAGACATAACGATGCACTTTGGCTGGCACGAACCATTCTACAAGGTGCCTTGTTTCTATGAATTGACTGCACTTTAACAGGCATGAAGCTTCCATCATTCATAGGACCTGAAAGCAATATAAATAATTATTGCTGTTCTTAATTTCACTACAAAGAAAAAATTTACAGAAAGAATACAATTTTTTCTTCTACATTTGTAATATTGCAACACTTTTTTAACTGATATATACTAATTTTAACAATGTTTTCTCACAGGACCCTACTGCTTACAGCCACCACCAGCCTTTCTTATCTGTGCTGTGAGATATATCATTCTGGTAAGGCACTGATTATTCTGCTGTATTCTATCAAACAAGTGAGTAATAACGTAAATTTCAAGAATTGTTTTGCAGCAACTATAGCCATTCTCGATAGTGCGTGAAATGAATAAAATTGTAATTTGTGATGGTTAAAGAGGAAAGCTGGGGGTAACATCAGGGCCTGCAACACCAGTTTGGCAGCGGGATGCAACTTGCCACAAGTGTTTTTAGTATTGTTGGAAGGAACTGATATTATACAGTATTACGACATTATTATATAAGATTAAATCTCTAAGCTTTATGGATGTAGAAAAACAAATATTTAAAAATGTGTTTGTATAGAATTGCTTTACAATAAAGTAATAAATAGAACATTTGCAATTGTTAGATAGCACGTAACACAGGAGTAAGCATGCATAAAAAATGAATGGGAGCAACAATGGGTAAGTAACTCATTACTACAGACCGGACTTCCATGCAAATGCATGATTTTATTTAAGCTTCCAAACTTTGTAAATATATCTTTCTTGGCAAACTCATTTTAAACACACATTCTTTTTCTATGAATGTTTGCATGTATTGGTATTTTTTTGGAAAAATTCATGTGTAATGCATGTTTGAAGTTTTTCATTTAATAATGCATATATAGACTTCTCGTTTTCTTTACAATACATGAATATTAATATTGATGCATATTTCGTATAGAAAGCATGTTATTCCTACTAGATCTTAACAGATCCTAGCAGTTGTCTTTGCTTACATGCGTACTTTGCATACATGCGCTGTGAGCAAGAATTACAAAATGAAACAACATCGAGTGATTAAGTGAAAAAGAATAATGAAGATACAGGAAACTGCAAATCAATATCACTTGATAACTAACAACAGTAAGGGAAAATAATCAAGAGCAGACTCTCAGTCCACTTGGGTGCAAATTAAAAATAAAATATTTTAAAAATCCACCTGTGAAAAATTGAAAATTTATATTCATTCAAATTTTGTAAAATTGTCTATAGCAATTCAGAAATTGAAAACTGCGAATTTACCTGTAGAGGAGTCATAAAAATTGAAGACTTAAAAACATCTTTGGAATTAATGTTTGGAAGTGCAAGTGTGACTCCCAAGAAGAAATTACACAAAGTGTTAAATTCAAATTCTGATTTGAAATTTCCCCAAAATGTTTATAAAAAAAAAAAAAAAAAAAAGGGGGGGGGTTAAAAATCAGAAAATGCAGAAATTTGACCACACGTTGGCTCAGATTTCATTTTTGAAGTATGCTCCACTTATATCTTCTTACATTTACATAACAAGCATTTTAAGCATTCAAAAACATATGTCTCTGAGAAAATGACAAATTTAACACAGTAAAATTATTTGGAAAAATTGTTAATTGTACAATTACAAAAGGCAAAAAAAATATACAAAACTAAAATTTGATTCTGCATGCCTTGACAATTTTTAATTGGCATTGGGCATGTTTGATATTGATTAGTGCATATATATTTTTGCATTTGACAGTGCACAAAAATCCTGTGTCTACTTATTACATTATAAAACTAATGAAAAGAAAATGCAACGGATATTTTATGTGTTAAGCACAAATTGGACAGCTTGTCACATCTTTCAATAATAAAAGCTACAAAAGCAGGGGAGAATTCATTAAAAAATTGCAAGTCATAGAATATCTGGTTATTACATTCAACTTACCAATAACTAGTTGAGTGCCTTCAGTTACCACACCTCTTGTTAACAAACCTCCTACAACAGTTCCCACTTCAGGCACTCTAAATGTTTCATCAATCTGGAATTCACATGGCTCCTAGAAAATTAAAAAAAAGAATTATTGCCAGTCTTATCATTCAATATTAAAAATAAGCCCAAATAGAACAAACACATGAGCACTACCCTTAATCACAAAAAACAATTGTAAAAACATAAATCAGGGATAACATTTTTAAACCGACAATCATAAAAACCCAACAAACTTCTCAAAAAGCAATTTTTTTCAATTATATTTGTCTTGAAAAATAATCAGCTTTCTTTTACATAGAATAAAAGTTAACATTTTTACAAGCCACTTATGTTAGCAATTTTACAGACCTGCTCCAATCGTTCTTTTTCTTTCACACCAACGCCAGGAGGCAAGACATGCAAAAATTTTGTGATCAGTTCCAGTCCTTCACCAGTAACGCTTGATACACAGAATATGGGAACAACATTAGAAGCAAGCTGATTAGAACCTGCAGTAATCACATCATCATCATTTTGGACAATCAATGGAACCTGCAATGAGACAAAAACATCTAAATAATTACTTTGCACATTTTATTGTTCAAAAGAAGCAACAGGCAAACTTCAAACAACATGAAAACATAAAAAACCTGCAAAACTAGCAACTTAAATTGAAATTACTACAGAGAAGGTACATCAATTTTTCAAGGATCATTTTTAATTGTAGAACAAGTAGTAATTGCAATTCATTAATTGTTTTGCACTAAAATTTTGTCAAAAATTTGGAAGTGTATCTTGTCTGAACAGAAATGGAAAAATATGATGCTAACGCCCCCCTCCTCCCCCTGTCAAGGGATGAGCTCAGGGTTGTTTCAAATTCTCTTGCTTCTAGACGGTGTTCAATTGTTCTGAAAGTCTGTGGTAGCATGAACCTGTTACTTTAAATATTAATAAAGAAAGAAACATGATTGCAAACTTGCTTTAAACACTCAGTGAACGAAGTTACAAAATTTGTTGTATGTGCATCAGGCAAAAGAGGAAATGAGTGATACTCAACCTACACTGTCCCAAACAACCAGAAAATATTGGAAAGGTCCTAAGAGAAAGTCCAATTACCAATGTCTTTAATGCATTACTTTAATTAATATTAGACTGTTCGTGCCCTTTTAGGAATTAACATTTTTTCCCTGAAAGCTTCCGTTTTAAAAAATTCTGGCAAAAATGTAGTTTTGAAAGAGTACAAAAGAATAACAAAACTGTCAAACACATGTAACAAATATAAAGAAAAAAAACACTTGTGTAATAAAAATTGGACATAATAAAGAAATGATGAAAGAATATGGTTACAATTCTTTGTTTAACACATGTAACCATTTTAATTTTCTAGTGAGCGCCAAACCCACTCTCAACGTAACGTCACAAAAGAAGGTTCAAACTAATCTTGGTTAAGAAACTATACCTCGAATCTCAATTTATAACACAAATGAGCTTGCTTCTTTTAATTGACTTACTCTATAAACAAATAAAAGAAAAAAAAGATTTTATTTCATTAAAGTAGTAATGATGTATTGAAAAATGTAAACACACAAAATTAAATAAGTATATAATTACATTATGAGCAAGATTATATCAATTGTTTTCTGTATCCTGCAAAATTACTTTTTGGAGATATTGTTTCTTAAACACAGATTTGTTAAGAAAACATGGATAATATTTCTGAAGATTCTAATTGTTTAGAAATTTTCTTCATATTCCAGACTGTAAATATTAAATTAAAATCAATAAATACACACTACCTAGAGCATTAAGCTAATTATTGTCCAATTCAGTTAAATGTAATAATATAGCCTAAAACCACACCTTTCGACATCCAGCAGCTTTGAGAACTTTCTCGATAGCAATCAATGTGTCAGCAGGAGGTGCTAGATCTATCTTAGTAACTGTGATGAAGAAAGGAACATCAAGAGCAATGGCCAGAGTAAGATGCTCTCTTGTCATCCCCACAATGCCAGCGGAACCACTAACCACCAACATGATGTAATGAGGGGAGTACCCAGTAAGGCCCAGAACAGTTGTACGAAGGTATTTACGATGCCCTGCCAAATCGATGAAAGTGATCAACTTAGTTGAATTTTCACAAATTTCTTCAGCAGTCATTAATTCACTGTAATTGATTATCTGGCCCTGAAATTTATGAAAAACAATTTATAACCTTTGGAATTCGGTTAAAAAAATTTAAGAGCATCTGCAATTACATTTTCATACCTGAGAACCAAACCCTAAAATTTCATGGGAAATTGATGATGTACGACCAGATTGAACTTCATGTAGATGTCGGAACATGTTTAGCCTTGCACGACCTCTTCCATTGTCCAGTTGTCCCTGAGTCAACACACCCAAAAGTGTAGATTTGCCAGCGTCTGCAGAGCCCAGAACAGCCACACGAACTTCTATATTATGTTGATCATCAGGAACCTGAAATTTTACAACAAAATAAAACATATGGAACCACTGAAACAAACAGCATAAAGTACTAAAACATTTGCAGAACTACCTTTCGCACTAGGACTTCTGAGATGCGATAGCCATTATCATTATCTACTGTTCTTTCACGTAGTACAGTTGTAGTAGCTCCAAGTTTGAAGGCCATTTGACGCAATGTTTGTAAACTAGCAGTCATTTCCTGTTCTGAAAGACCAGTTAAAACTCCACTGTCTTCAACTCCAATCTCATAAATTGCTTCCCCTTGACCTTCTCGAAGACGCCATTTCATCTAAAAGAATTAAAAATTATAATTTATTCACTAAAGCAAAAAAAAAGTATCAGAAGGATGGAGTAAGTTTCTGCATCCAGTCATGATCTGGGCAGCCCAGGTGACCCCGCATCCAGGTGTCTGGGTGCCAGGCACCACAGCCCTGAAGAAGACCATGATATGATGGTCAAAACGTTGGCATCTCAGCCTTCGATGTGGTGTCACCTGAACCCAGATCAATATACCAGAAGGTTGTAGTATACAATTCACTGATTGAAAATAGTTATTAGAAATGGTTTCTCACTGAGAGGGCTGAGTAAATGTACCAATGGGAGAACATAATATGAAAGAAATATCCCTTTTTTTTTTATTTTATACAATTCAATTGGTAATTATGTAACAAGTTGCAATACGATTTTACATTTCATCCATATTTGATCAGTCAAGACAACATGGCCTAATGGAATAAAATCACAGGTTGGCTATCTTGTGATGTTACAGAGACAGTCAACTGAAGAAGACAGATGGAATCAACAATCAGAGAAAAAAGTGTACATTCTGGAGTGAAGATGTAAATTATTAATAGAGCAATTTAGTCTGATAGGCATAACTCAGTGGAGAATTTGGATGTAAGAAATGCAATGAGATACTGCCTGTATATTTTATTGAGGACAATATTATGGAAAAGTTAATGGACTGGAATATTTGGGAGAGTAAATATAGTGAAGTATGGAATTGGAAGTAAAGGAAGGATTTTTGTTATTTAAAGTTGAAGAAGGTAAACCTAGGTATCATAAATGAATTAAATGTATTGTTATTTTCAGTTCACCAATAATATTGTACTTTTCTTAAAATAAATATACGTCCATTTTTCTTTTGAATTTGAAAGTGTTTTGATTTATATTTCAGGAAGTTATCTTATGCAAATCTAAGGAGGATTTCAATAAATAGGTGTAAAAGAAATACCTGAGTGACTAGATGCTCAAAGCGTTGCTTGGACGGGTTCACGAGTTTCAACTTGTACTCAACATTTCCGACTTGTGGTTCAGGAGGCAGCTGGTCTGCAGTTCCACTCCTATCGACCACTTCATCTGAGTTGGCAGGATCAAAAAGACCCAGAAAATCCATTGGTACTCTGAAAGAAGATAATCTTATAACTTATGCAATTGAAAAAATACTGGAACTTCAATACTATTAGAACATTTTGTACCTATTTTACAGAAGATTTTAATCCAGAATAAATATTAAAGTGTTCACATATGGTAACATTCAGATCATCATCAGGTGCAATAACATAAAATACATGGATGTAACAATAAAGATAATGTCTTTATTTTATCTGTATAAATGTTCATTAAACAATTCACTAAAAAATATGCAACAAAATATAGGTGCATAATGATACTGCTCACAGATGTTCTCCATATTTTCAAATCAGACAGCATTAAATTGGCTATATTTAAACCCATACACCTTTATTTAGATGTATTTATGCACTGGAAAACAATATTTCACAACAGAACTATACACACAAAATGATTCACACAATATCAGAGACCACTGCTGTCAGGCAGGATTCCTATACTTCAAGAACAGCCAACCCAACACATCTGGAGAAAGTGTTCTCCCAGTTACAAAAGTTTGTAGCCACTTAAGTTCTCCTTGAGCACAGCTGACTGGTCCAGCCCCCACCCTACCACTCTCATGCCATACTATTGCTCCATATAACAGGCTTCCTTTCTTTTCTAGAGTAATGAACTGTTCTGGTGGAGTAACCCAGCAACTACTTGACGTTCAGGATTACATAACACTCAGCTGTTATGCTTGAAAGGTTCTCCTGTCATGCAGGAAAAAGAGAGGGAAACTACCTTTCATTTTTAAACAGACAAACCTAACATTTCATTAAAAATACTATGACAGAAAACATTCTACACTAATCAAAATCATTATTTCAGAATATGCCTTTCCACAAAAAATGAAAAATTAAATTTTTACATGATGCTTTTAAAGAAAATTAGAAGTTTTTCACTGAAGATTCTATTAAAAAATGTTTGCATTAGTGACACACCAACATAATTAATTAGGCCTAACGGTGGTACAGTATTGCTATAGAAACCAAAACACCCAATATCACACATAATGTCAAAAGAAGCTTAGGATAAAAAAAAACTATTAAATAACGATTGTCAACAATAACACAAATTACTTCATAGAAATAGAGAAAAAATTACTTTGTACACATTTGAGAAGGTGAATTGGTAGCTTATGATCTTCACCCAATGGGCAACAAACTTCAACTGACACATCTCCTCACAACAAAGCTGGCAGTTGAAAGACACTTGCACTAGTCACCTTGTTTACAACACACAAGTTAGTTTCTATAAATAGATACAGCTGAAAAGAGAATTGGAATGTTTCCCAAATCTTTACCAAGGATCATGGCCAATTTCCAACATATATAGGTTGAAATATTCACTTTTATATATTTTGGTAGTTAAAAAAAGTAGATGAAGAAATTTGCTATTACTCAAGAAATATAAAAAAAAGGAATTGTCTTCTTTAAAAATATCACACTGAATACTCCTTGGAAAGGAATTCTACATTCCCTCCGTAGTAGTGATATATTTCTAAGATAGCCCTATGAATGACTGAAGAAAATAGCAAAGTTTTCTCGAAGCAACATAAAAAACTTACATAATTCTTAACAAAACAGATTGACAGCATTAATACTTATCTATAGCCTATTATCATATACAAAAGGATATAACTGGTAAAACTATTAAAATCCAGATAACAGTAAGCTTTCCAATCAGAATTTCAACCTAGACAAGACTGACATTCATTTCATTGTTAAATTGGAGAAAGAAAAATTAATTTTGAAATTAAAGATATGACAATGGTACTCCTCCCAAAGTAGAACTATGAAATAAACATTTCTCCACATTGTTCCACAATTTTTATAGATTGGGAAAGTTTCCCATAAAAATAGTGCATGATTGTCATTAGCAAATGATTCATGGGGCGCATTTCGAAGCCAGATACCTGGCAGATCATTTTAAGCACATCATTTAATCGATACCCCATACCAATTCCGCTAAGTCACTATCTCGAAATTATTACGAAAATTAGAAGACTTTTCGCTGAGAACAACGCAAACGAAGTACTGCTCACTAAACGCCTTTCTATAGTAGTCTCACACAACACCTTACAGCACGTAAACAAAAATAGTAAGTTTGTCAACACTATTTGTATGTAAACAACAGTGTTTGTCAACAATGCACACCTTTCCCTATATACATAAGTTCGTGAAATTTACTCAACATAATTTTATTACCACATTCTAATACATTCATAATTTGTACTAAGATTTATCAAACGTGGGGTGACAACCACTTACCTTATTTATTTCTTTGTTCGAGATATGATACTGACAATTCTGCACCTCCCAGCCACAACCATTTTCCTCACACTCCAGTATCGTTACTGGCGGACGACAACGAGAACCACCCAGCAAATATCATCACTGGACTGCCCATCTTGCATCAGCCACTTGCGTCACCTTACGAAATTCTACAGTTCATTAAATTCTACAGTTTTATGCAATGTTACACAATAATCTCAATAAATGTTCGACTCAGTACAGCTCAAGACAATCAAATTGAGTGTATTAATTGTCTTATTCTTTTCAAATATTGGCAACAGTGAAGCCCGGTAAAATATGAATATGAAATAAAATATAAGAACATTATAGTTTTAGAACCCTGCATGTATGAGTTTCCAAATAAATTGTCATTTGGAATCAATAACATACTAAAGGAAGTAAATCCGTAAATAAGAGTGTGAAATATTGACTTTCAATTACTATTTACTTTGATATGATTTCAGAAAAGAATTCAAATGAAAAACTCTATTGATCAATTCATTTGTGATCATTTAAACCAGAAAGTTTATAAACAAGAAGTCTTTTTAGGTACAGGAACATTTGGAAAATTCTACGAAGTTACTGAAGTTTCGAGTGGAAGGTGTTATACAGCAAAAATTATTCCCAAAATTCCTACTTCATATGATAACTGGGAAGATAAAATACTATCAGAAATAACAATACATAAATCTCTAATTCATAAATGTATTGTTAAATTACATAGCTATTTTCATGACGTGAAAAATATATATGTGTTATCTGAACCTAGTAGTAAAATAACAATGTTAGGACTTATAAAAAAACGAAACATTCTATCAGATCCTGAAGTGCGGTATTACATGAAGAGAGTTCTACTAGCTCTGGAATATATTCACAAGAAAAATATAATTCATTGTGATCTAAAACTTGGAAACCTCTTGATTACCAAAAGTATGGAAATAAAAGTAGGGGATTTTGGTTATGCTACCCGTACTGACTATCCAAAAAAAGAGCAAAATAAATTATTTTGTAGTCGAAGTTATGTAGCACCTGAAATCCTGGTAGGAGAAGTTTATGGGCAAGAAGTTGATATATGGGCATTTGGCTGTATTTTGTACAGATTACTCGTGGGTTTAATGCCTTTTTCATCCTTGAATGTCCAAGATATTTATAATCGTATACAGACATGCATGTGTAATGTTCCTCAACATGTGAATTTATGTGCTGCCAATATGTTATATAGAATTTTCACTAGAATTCCAAAGAAAAGGCCAAATGCTTCAGCTCTCTTGATTGATCAATATTTCCACATTGGTTTTACCCCTTTAACCTTACCTCAAAGTGCCTTAGAAACTTGTCCTTTTCCAACAAAATTTCAACACTCTGACAAGAATTCTGGGATTCCTTCATTAATGGGAATGTGTTTATCATCATCAAAACAATGTGGTTTACCCTTGAACAAAATATCACAAGAACAATTGATTCATCTAAAGACATTGTTATTAGCTACGTTGAGTTTTGACATGGAAGAAAAACCATACAAGGATGAATGCAATGAAGTATCTGTATCACAATTACCAAGATGGATTTGTTCCTGGATTGATCTTTCTGATGATTATGGCTTTGGGTACAGATTAAATGATGGGAGTACTGGAATTATTTTCATTGATGGTTCAAAACTCTTGTTTTGTCCTGACAATAACATATTGTACATAGATGAAGAAGGCAAAAAAACATTTTGTAAAAGAAGTGCATATTCTAAGGTACTTGAGAGAAAAGTTAAATTATATGAAACATTTTCTTCATATCTCTTTAAACATAAAGAAGATTCAGAAACATCACCTAACAAGGAAGAGAAGTCAGAATGTTCGGAAATTGCATATGTAACTAACTGGATATGCTTTCAGCACAAAGTTGCCATTCTATTTTCCACAGGCTTATTGCAGATAAGTTATCTTTTTGATAAATTAAGCGTAATATTAAGTCCTAGTAATGAGACAATAACATTCATATATCATGAAGGTGTAACCCAAACATACAAGCTAGATTTAATAGAAAAGAATGGGTGTACAAAAGAATTAGAAAGGAAATTGTGGAATATTTGGAAAGATATTCATAAAATGATTCAAAAGAAAAGTTACTTGACTATTTGTATAAATTAATCTGAGGTACCTATGTAAGATAGATTTTTTTGGTTTAGTTTTTATTTGATTTTCACAATCTTATTAAAAATTATTTATTTGCTATTGACAAATGGAGTAAAATAAAAGGTTATAATTTTTTTATTGGTATAATGTGCTAAATAGTGATAGAAAATTATTTTGAATAAGATTACATGAAATATAAAAAAAAACATTTCTAATCTGTACGATGGTATAGGAGATCTTTGAAGGTAACTGCCAAAAAGCCAGATGTATGTAACTATGAAGAAGTTTGTGTCATCAATTTCCAGACCATTAGCCATAGCAGTTGAATACGCCTTCTCTTCCTGAATCACAATAATTGCATTATTCTCAAATTTTGTGAAATGTAATAGGCATTTTAATACATTAAAAAAACAAAAACAAGATGTGTTATTAATGATAACTAATTTATTTTATTCATTCATTCATTTAATTTAAACTTGAACTATGTTTATAAAATTTTATATTTTTAACACAAGATACTTTTTAATTTAATTTAATATGAATCTAGTAATACACACAAGTATTGGAATAAGTAGTATAAATACCTCTCTTATCCTCCTCCTACCCCACAAGTATAAATCCCTCCCTTCCAGTCATTCAGTTTTACTTTCTTGAATACAACCTCCTCCTTTGAACCTACTCGTAGACTTCTACTGACCAGGGTATTTACACAAGCAATTTTGCTTGCGCAAGAAAATTGCTGAACAATTTCTTGGCAGAGTAAAGCCAACATTAGGTATTAACTTGGACTAGTGTTTCAGGGCGCGTCAACTGCGAAGATCATTAGTCCCATGAGTGTATTGCAATTTTTATTGCGAGAGGTGACTGTGATCTTCGCCCCGCCAATTGGAGAGATCCGGCACCAACCTACACGTCTGCTTGCTGGGTTTTCGCCAGCCAGGTACCACCCTCCAGCGGGGCACTGCCCCAGACAAAGGGACAAGTTTACGATCGCACGTGTGGTAGCGTAGGGCTTGTAAGTGTGTGTGACAGTAAGGGATAAAGGTAGGAAAAGGATGGTGAAGGAAAGTTCCCCCTCGTTCCGTTTGTTTGTCTACTGCTCTGGGATTCGCCTGGTGTTGGTCGGAGAAACCGTGTAAAACACCGATCAGAGCAGCCGACTTCTAGAATCCTTCTCCAGATTGCAGTTGAATTCGACTCAAACAGTAGGACCTCTTAGTCAGAAGCACTGCAGTGGCATCACTTGATACTGAGCCAGTTAAGTCGGTCATTAGTCCGGATGAGAACTAATGAGTACATGAACACTTTCTTTCTAGAAATCAGATATTTTCTAGACAACATTAGCGACCATTTCCTAAATCTTCGAGCACGATTTACCCTTTGACTAAAGGAAAGTGGTTATATAAAAGACGTTTTCGAAAGTCTTTTACAATTGTCGTTCATGGTCCGCTGATAACTCGTTTTTCTTGAATTTGTTTGTACCCGCTAAATTCTTGCGACTGAATGTCCATCTTTGTTTATTGGGGGTGACATGAGTTACGGTAAATTTGCTTATTTCAAAATCTTGAAAGCTCAAGTCCGCTACGCTTGCTAATCACTCCACCAAATCTATCGCGGCAATCAAGTCTTACTAGTCACTTTCTAGTCCTAATCAAGTCTTTGAGCAGGTGCTGATTCACAGTGAAGGCAATAACGGAAATTTCCCGCCCTAAACTTTTTCAATAACTATTAATTTTAACTTGTCACGAAAGTTTCAAGTGAAATATTTTTTGATAACATTAAAACGAATAAAATCGTATCGCAGCATGAGCTGAGTGTAGCCTGCGACATTTTACAAAATCTATAATATGATACATTCGACCAAAACAATTTGAATATCCTTTCCCAATATTCGTCTCTGGAACCGCCTCTGATTTGAGCAAGTCGGGCACAATGAGAGGGAAGAGGGTGATATACTCTGTTCAGCCACATTTTATACTAATTTCTACCAAATCGTATGAAGGATGGTGGTAGAAATGTGTTATGAAATGAAAATATAAAATTTGGTACGAGTACGTACGAACTCGTAGGATATAACAATTGAAAGATGTAGCGTCGGACGCGAGTACTGTTGAGGGAGACTGGTTCGAGTTCGCTAGAGAATGGACGCTTGAATGTAGGGCGGAAATATTACCGGGACATTCTGGTTAGAAAACCCAATTAGTATCGACTTCAGAATACTCCCCAGACTGTCAAAGATCGTCGCGGTGTAAGTATAGTCTCTTGGCGCTCCTAGCTAGGCTGCAGGTAGTTTCTTTCGCAGGTAGTCACCATTACAACTTTCACACTCAACGACTGTTTGACGCCGTAGAAGCCCACAAAGATAAGTATATTTTGCCTTGATCTGCCGTTCAGTGAAACTGTATTAATCTATATCTTCTACAATTAATTCGTATTCTTAAATTTTAAGATCTGCTCTACTGCTCTGTTAGTTTTCTACTCCTATCCCACTACTCCACAAAACATCTCTTCTAGTGCCTTTTCCTGATCATCTGATTTTCTCCACATCTTTTTTCTCTTAAAATGACTTAGAGAAATAAGATCGCATCTAGAGCCAATATCGATCTTCAAACTAAAAGTGCGGCGCAAGTGACTGAGGCACTGGATAAGGCAGTAACATCGCCTACATCAGAGTATATATCGCCTACATTCTTAAGCTCTTTGGCATCTGTGCTCACTGAACTCGTAGCAAAGCAACTGGAAGATTCGATGAATTTCAATAATAATCTTGAGACATGTTTAGAAAAGAAATTGGCTGAACGTGACCGCGAGGTTTCAAATCTAAAATCTCAGAAGAAAGGACAGACCAGCTCTCCACGCTTTCGCGTGCAACTCGTCCTCCTGCACCATGGTTAACTGATAAAATTCGAAATTTAATGAAAGATCGTGATGCAGCGTATGCTATTTTCCGGAAAACCTAAATGCGAACTACTTAAAAACATAACAAAATGCTCAGAAATTTAGTTACACAGAAATGCCGCAGCGCTAAAATTAAATATTACCACACCACCTTCGGCAGAACCAGCGACTCGAGAACAATTTGGAAAAATCTGAAAAATCTAGGAATAGGCTAAGGTCCTCCCCAAATTGAAACGAATATTTCCTTAGAATCACTAAATCATAGTTTCATAAATAACGTTCCTTCATTTGACAGTAACTTGAAAAGGCAATCTCTTGCGTTTCTCCAAAACTCGGCAATAATATCCAACGATACTTTTTTCTTTTCGTCCGTTGAACATCAGGATATAATCAAAATCGTTCAAAGCCTCGAATCAAATGCTTCAGGTTCCGATGGTATAAATGCCAAACTGCTAAAAAATAGCCTAGATGTGATCTACCCAATCATCACCGAAGAAGTAAATTTCTCACTAATGAGCGGACAATAAGACAGCATCAACCTAAAACCGCCCAATTAGCATCCTCCCAACTATCTCTAAAGCACTCGAAAAAGTCGTCCGTAGGTAAACTGAACAGTATCTTCGAAAAAAATCACTTTTAAACGATCAGCAATCAGGTTTCCGTTCGGGAAGGAATACAGAAACAGCGCTATTAAACATTACTGAAGACGCGAGAACAGCCGAACATTCGATTTAGTTGATCACGACATCTTGCTCGCAAAACTAAAGATCAGGGAACCCCGCGCGTACATGGTTTCTTAATTACTTAACTTCCAACACCCAAAGAGTGGTGTCCGGTAGCCGCAGTTCAAGGGACTTGAAACTTAACCGCGGAGTTGCTCAAGGCACTGTATTAGGGCCACTGGCCTTATTAATCTATGTAAATGACGTAGGAAAAGCACTTAAATATTGCAGTCATCAAATGCATGCGGATGACCTCCAGATATATCTAAGTGGTCACCCGTCTCACTTGTTATCAATCGTACAAAAAATCAATGAAGATTTGATAACGGTAGATTAAATTAGATTAGATTTAGATTTATTCACTCAAAGAACATTAAAAACTGTATGTGACGTAGAGGGGAGAAGATTATCTGCGCACGTTTTCTTGAGTTCCAGAATTCCTTCCCGTCATTTTAACTATAAATAGTTAGTATAAATAGTAACTATAAATAATAGTAGAAAGATGAGTAAATGTTTAACATAAATAAATAAAAATAAATTTTAAAAATTGCAAGGTTAGCAATATTGGAAAAATAGTCAGTTTCGTTTCTGACTTATAGAAAACTTATTTGCATCGATACATGAATTGCAAGTATGATTTTTCTGCACTGCTAACAAAATAGCAACTCGCCCTTACCTCTACTAGAACTGAGTACGTTATACATAGTTAGAGAAGTTTAGCGAAAGAGAAGAGAAAAGACGTACAGGGGAAGGGGTCGTAAAGTAAAAATGATGAAATTTGTGAGGGAGGAGGAAGAGAGAGGAAGCGGAGAAAAGGGTGAAGAAGAAGTAAGCGAAAAAACGAGTTCGAGGAACGTTACAGAACGCTACGTTTGGTTTACAGAAGCACTTTACATAAATATAAAATAATTTTAACACCAGAGAAGCACAATACACTATAAGCTAATAACAGTAATTTTAAACACAATATTGGCAGTATTAAGAAACAATATAGAGAGTGCTGGTATTTTAGCATCAATTTTGTTTATGTCAATATATTGTAATAAATTTAATGATGGTACAAAGATAGCTACAAGTATATTTTATCTGGAACGTCACTAATAATTTTTGTATATTATATTAAACAATTTCATTAGGAAACAGAAAAATAATAATGCTAATAATTTAGAAGGTGTGAGAGGGAGGTGGGGATAGAGCAACGAGATATGGAGTAGAATTTTGAAAATAGAGGGGGAAAGTACAGTGTTTAAAGGGGGCCGTGAGCGGGCGCTTGGAAGTGGAAGAAGTCTGGAGATTGAAGACGACGTTAACGCCATTCTATATGTCGTTATTCTTTACCCATGTAGGTAATTCATTTTTGAATTTACAGAAAGTGTTTGAATGTTTTAGGCTCGCTGGTAATTTATTCCAGGCTCGGATAGCTGTAATGATGAAAGATCTACTGAACGAAGTCGTGTAGTGACGTGGCACACAAAGCAGAGCTGATTCACGAGCTCGATTTACTTTCAGAGGATTGAAGGTACTAATGAGGCATGTTGCATGAGAACCGATTAAAACTTTATAAAGAAGTAGATAATGGAGTAACCGTCTTTTGTCTAGAGTAAGCATACGAATTCTGTCAAAAAATTCCGATACATGGTCGTATTTTCTTAGACCAAAAATAAAACGTACGCATGCGTTCTGGGCTATTTGAAGTTTACGTTGTAATTTCAATGTAATGTTGGTCAGAAGAAAGTCGCAATAGTCGAAATGTGGCATAAGTGATTTGATGAAAGTCTCACGTGTGCTACCTTATTAAATTATTTTCCTTAGGTAACATTTTGCATAAACATCTATAAAATTTATTCTTAATTTTCTTGGTATTCTGCTTTTTTTCTCGCACTTACTTCGTAAAAATAGAAAGTTATGTAAATGTGAGCCGAAAAACGGCGAATTTTCGGAAGAAAAACTTTTATTGTCGGACCCTGGCAACGAAAAAGAGGATAAATCCTCTTTCTATACGTAGTAAATTACTTCCTCTCACACGTGGTGTCGCATGAATCAATATTTTGTGGGTCCTTGATACTGAAAAATCGACTGACGACAAAACTATCTATGCGTCTGTGGTAAACGCTAGCACCTAAACGGAAATATAAACGCGCAATTTGAGGGGAGGTTCTTGCTAGAACTATAATATTGAAGATAGAGATTTTTTTCTTAATGAAATCTGTTCTTTACAGATAAATTTCGAAATAAGGTCGATGTTTTCATTAAAATTTTTCGAAAATATGAGCATTTTCATGTAATTTTGCGTGAAATACAGGTTACTTAGAATTTTTTGAATGATTCTTTTCTCAAAAATTGATTCAAATTTTTCTTGATTTTTTTTTCTTCCACAGATAAAAGGGATGTGTAAAAGAACGGTGGGGGCCTCATTTTTGTTGAACTCTCAGAATTTTCGAATATTGCAAATCTAGAATTAAAAAAAGAATGTGCTGTTGTGATACCACTAGTTTTTATTTGAAGCATCTAAAACCATTTCATAGGTAAAAAATAATGTCAGTGAAACTACAGGTATTATCAGTAACATTTTATTAATATAATAATGTCATATTATTTATGAATAGTGGAATGAACAAAGATACAGTACAGTCTTAAAAAATATAAATTAATCACTTTAAGGACACACAATTGAAATCTACATTAACAGTGAGAGAAATGTCAGAAATATATGATCAAGGTGGTACAATTTAAGTAGACTGCATGGCAAGCAAGAAACAAAATATTATTTTGGATATTTGTAAGATTAAAATTGTAAGTTGCTAATATACATAGACAATTAATCTGACAAAGCTTAGTGTGAATGTTATTGCCACTCTTTCAATTTTACAACTCATTACAAAATGGTCAAAATTCTGAGCAATATCTCACCAGAAGAAATAAATACTAAGTTTGAAATCCTTTTATGAGCAAAATAACACATGATAGGTGTCAGAAGCAACCCACTAAAACATGACAATTTTGCAAACCTTTTAAACTTTCCTCTTTTCTAGTATAGCTTTTGTTTTAACTGTTAAATGTACTTGTATTATGCACTTTTTCAGATTTTAACATATAGTATCTTCTATTTACAATTGAGAAAACAGAATAGTAGCATTTCATGTTTTATGATAGGTAATTTCAAATTTTGTATCTTTTAAGTGGAAAATTTGGTCATGAAATAATGGGCAGGAATGTTTTAAATATTTTTGAAAGGCATAGAGAAATTTCAATGAATCACAACTTATACTCGAAAAGCAAGATAATGATCAATCAAAAGGCAAGCAAGAGAATTCATTTCCTTTCAGAACATTTTAATAGTCAACATTATTTGTTGCAAATGTGTTTATAAGTGATAATATAAGTAAATAATAAAAAATATTTTTTGTTTAGTTAGTTATTATCTAACAATTACCTAATAATAAAAATGTGCCCCGTCTCCTGGTTCTAACTGTATCCATTATCAGTGTGAAGCATAAAAAATGCACAAATTCCAAAATAATGAATATCCACCTTCTGTTGAGATTAAGATTCTGAGGTTGCTGCAATATTAATCTGCCCATTAGTTTTGCAAAGTAATTAAAGTACAAGTAAATAAAATAGTATAAGGAACAAGGTAGTATCAAAGGTATTAACAAGGTATTGATACAACAATTATTCAAGGTATTAATTAAGTACCTCACAATCCCAAAGAAACATTTAATACAATGTAGTGTCAAAGCAACTGAAGAGAGAAACTTTCGTTATTCTAAGAAAAATTAGTTTTAAGACGGTGTGTTACAGAGAATGTTTTATGTACATTTTATGGACAGATAATTACAAAAATACTCTACAAAGATCATTGCAAGCACAATACAAGTAATAAACGTGAGAAATGGGCATGAATTCCTTTTCTTCTAACGAGAAATGTCAGAGGCATGTAAAGGAAGGGAATGTCTAAATTTCCCAAGAATGCATGCTGAAGGACACTTTCCTAGACTGGGTATATGGTAATTCATAATTTTTAATTGTTGTTCACCTGTGGTTTTGTCACTAGCCACCAGAATGTCTCTTTATAATAGTATATTCTCCAAATGTCAAACAGTGTTTAGGAAATAAATGCTATCACAGAGAACTGCCCCGAATGGAGAATATTACAAACTACAAATATGTCCCAATTTTCCCACTTGACTAACAGTTGAATTCAACTGTTATACACCAGAACTCAGGAATTATTTTAAAAACTTTCAAAAAATGTTTTAAATAACATAAAATTATGAAGAAATGTAAGACTGAACATAAAAGTGTTTAATGCTATCTGAACATGTATTTCTCAGCCAAAATAATAATGCATTGTTAGATAGATGAATGCAACAGCCATAAAATAATAAATACTGAATTCAAGTTTCTCTGACAGTCTGGAGGTGAATGCATTCTACAGATGTCTGAACTATGATGCTGTCCCAAGAACAACATTAATGACCAAGTTAAGAGAAGCAATGAGAGTAGTATTTACATATCAGTGAACTTTAGAATATAGTAAGATATTTGAAAAGTTTGGTGATTTTGATCTCAAGAAAATAATGATACTTTATTTATGTTACTATTTACAATTTTAGGAAGTGAAAACAGGTCATTTATCTACAACATGCAGATTTTGAACCACAATATGAATAAAAAGTGGCTTTGCAACAAGAAGAATAATCTACTTAATAATGGGATTTTCCTGCTCTGTACTCTACATTTTTCAATTTATTGAACTTCTCTACTTAATTTACAAGTGCTGAATACTCAACAAACAAAATATACATATTAAGTTGATTTATGTACAGTCATTTAAATATACATGATGCCAATAGAGAGAAATTCAATGACAAGTTGCACTTACAAAAGTTTCCATGTACAACCATCAAGATTTCTCTGATTTTGAAATTGAGTTTCTGGAAAGATACGTTGGTGAGATGTGTGTAAAACTATTAAGAACATTTTTTGGAAAATTCTAACATTCTAGGAATTTCACAGAATAATGATACATAGATGAAATGAAAATCCTTATACCTACCAACTTCAGTACAAGAAATCAAATAGTTTTAGTTGTGAGATATTTGGTAATTCAACCAATATGTCTTGTGCAATAGTTTGAGACATATTTCTTCAATTATGTGTCCAAGGAATTTTACAACCATACACTTCTTTTGCAGTAAAAATATTGAAAAAGTTTCTCTGAGGCTAATATCTAATTGTATTTGTGTTTTCACAGTTGACTTAATAATGAAATTGTGAATAAGCTATGTAAAAATGCAGAATGATTTCTCTGTTCAACAACACATATCTTTATTATACACTCATAATTTTCTTATTTACAACAACCAACAACACTGGCAAATTGTTCATGTTCTCATTACATTACTGCGTTTATAAAAAATCTTACCATATATTCCAATTCTAAGTTACACAATTAATTTTAAAATATATTGTAATACTGTGATAAAAATCGTGGTTATTAGGGACCTTAAATTTATGGTGGTGGGGGACAGGATTAGGAAGACTTAAGAGCATAGTTTATGTTCGTTGCGCTCATGGGTTTACATAAAACGTTACAAATTAAGCAATTAGCAATTGTAAACTCTTTACACACAGGAGCAATATTATAAATCAAGCATGTATCTAGAAGCATTTGGGCTACTTATTATGATTACCACATTCATTTGGAAGCAAATTATGGGACAAATGGTTTTCATTTAATTTAAAAAAAATTGTGAGCTGCAGTGTGATGAAGGTAATGCTACATTAACCAATAAAAGTTGAGAATTTTGAAGTTGTTGAAAATTTTAAGTGACAATTAGGGAAAAAAGTAATATAAAATATTTTATCACTTTTAGATAACAGAGAGGATCTCACAAAAGTATGAGCTTTTAAATGAAGTGCAGAAAAAATAAAAAGGAATATTTCAGTATCAAACATTAAGATCAGGTGACTTTACTTTGTTGCATAAAGTTCAAAAGCTAATCATTCATGGGATAAACATAATTTAACTTCATGTGTGCACACATATAGGTGGATAGCTTCGTGTATGTTTCATTCTACAACATCAATATAATAAAAAAGAATAATGTTAAAAATGTCAGTCTTTTTCACAGTTGGTTACTCATGTCTGAATATTTCGAAACAATATTGTTGGCCATTTGTAATTTATCCACGTATAATTGTGTAAAGACTTTTGTCTAGAAGTTAATTTAGTCAATGGTTAATTTTTTCACCACTCTCAATATTACGTATTGATACAATATCTTCATTCAGTTACCAAATTTTTCAAAATTTCTCAAAATTAGTTTTTCTCATTTTTTTATCAGTATGAGATAAAAATCTGGACCATGGAGTTCCTTACGATATTTTTTCTTTACTAATGAGTACTTTTATAGATCATGGTACATAATTAAGATTATTTTATTGACAGTCAGAAGTAGGCTTGCGATTCCTAAAGATACAATTTTTTGAAGAAAATGAAATGAAATTGGCCACTGGCAGTCTTTTTAAGTAAAACATGACATTAGACGTGAAGAAGAAAGTAGTTGAGAAACACTGACTGGTGTAAAATGTTTTATGTTATACATTAGAAATTGGTCAATCTTTTCATTGCATTGTATTCTTTCTTAAATGGAATAATCACATCTTAACGTCAATATGATATCAGTGTAAACTTATCCCATCCTCTATATTACAGAATGCTATATAAAAGAATGTGTGAGCACTGAAGTCTAGAAAGGAAATAATTACATCTTAGTAATAATAATAAGAACAAGAAGAAGAAGAAAAATAATTTTCTGTGTTTTCTCAAATAGAGTAGCCACAAAAATGCTCTGGATTCATGTTCAACTTTCAAATTACCCTCTTTCCAAATGGCTGACTACACTTCCTCACATCTTATTGGAGGAAAGATTAAGGAAAATAAATATTCTTAACATGTAACGAAGTTTTGCAGAACAGGAGTCTGCCTTTTGTAATCTATTACAAAACGTACATTTATTTACAAAGATATTAAAAAAAACAAATTTCAAAAGTGTAAGTAGTGAAGTAAAAGTCTAGCCTACAAAATAATTTGAGTTTAAGACAAGGTCTGTGCATCATTTATTTAAAAATTAGGTCAAGCTTTCTACAAATATGAAAGTAATTCAGTCACTGAAAGAACAAATGAAGGGATAAAGAGCCGTTCTGAGTGAATGATTCAATTATTCATTAGCACTCCCTGAGTCATGTGGCAATTATTCCATTCATCTCCATTTCTGAGAGAAGTTTACATCCAATCTGTAAATTATCATTTAGCAGAAGGTGGAGGAGAGAGACAAAATATTTTTTTAATTTTGATTTTAAATGTAGCTCCTTTAAAAAATAATCCCTCTTAAACCAGATTTGTGGGTACATTCATCAAGGACTTCAATCATAAAAATGATCTGATCAGCTTAAATGGGGACAGATAATTTTATATTTTTCTGCATTATGCTATTTAGACAATGAGCTACTCAAATATATGTCTATCTGTTGATATTTTCACAATGAAACAACTATGAGCTTTCTTATCAGAGCTACAAATATACTTGTGTTTGTGACAGTTTCACAGCACTCAGGAAATGGATGGTAGCTTTATCTTGTTAAAAAGTCATAACATAAGAAGATATCTCCCTCACACTTCAGCCTATTCTTACATACAAGAGATCATGCCATATGCCACATGGCAACATCTAACGATATGTGAAGAGCAGATACAAATTAAGTAGTATTTTGTGGACAAGTGGGTCAATGCATGTTCCATATTTGGAAGCTAGAGCGCTAGCACTGTTACATTCAACATATATAGTACGGGTTTCCTCGAGTTTTAACACTGTTTTTCTAAACAAATTTATAGTTTTCGATGATTACTTTAAAGCATGTTCATTGATGTACTGATAAATAAAATCTCACAGTTCACTCGTGTGACGATACAAAAAATCCATCCACGCTATGCATTTAGGCGAAAACGCGTGGAAAAGAAATCCCAGCAAACATCGACAAGTAGTGAAAGAACGCAGAAAATTGAGATCGGGCAGACTTGAATAAGGAAGCCCGCTGGCCCGCACATATCGTAGACATAGCAGCAAAGCCAACATCTTTCGCCTACCAAATTCGCACTCTCATGCTCGACCCACGGCAAGTGGCGCCCGTGACTCCGCGAACCTCACTCTCTGAAAACAACACTCGGAAAGAAACGAAGCACAGACTTGGAAGCCGAACAGTCTCCAGTATGCACGAGAAACATTCTGAACGCGCACCCAAACAACACGTATGTGTGTGAACGTACATCGACGAGAGTTCTCTTGAGACTGACTCAACACGACGGCGTAGTGAGAATAGACATGGAGAAACAGATACGCACGAATAATTAAAAAAAAAAAATAAAAAAAAAATAAAAAAATAAAAACATCACGAAAAAGAAACCAAGTTTCCCATTCCCGCCACCGTGGAATACAAAAAAGTGGTCCGAGGGCGTACGTGTGTGAATGAGAGACAGCTCCCGGGCGGGGCGGAGCGGTGCAGTGCGCGGCGTTTTTTGCAGAGCGCGACCTGGCGACGCGCAACTAGTAGGCCGGAGACGCCGCTGCCGTCGCCGCCATCGCCGCCGCCGCCGCCGCCGTCGCCGGCCGCAGCCAACGCAAGGGACAGCAAGGGCCGAGGCGGCGGGATCACAAGACGGTGTCCAGCGTGTCCAGGGACTGCAGGATCTGCTCGTCCCTCGAGCACCACTCCACCAGCTCGTCGATGGTCACCACGCCGTCCTTGTTCGCGTCGATTTGCTGCAACAGTCGTCCAAACTCTTAGTGCACTACAACGATATACATACGCATGCGCACAGTAGAGGAACAGGCGGCCCTTGGGAGCATTTCGTAAAGACCCCCCCCTTAGCACTAGGAGATCAAAAAAATGTATTTCCGTAAATATGATCAATTTCTGATAGCTCCCTTGATTTAGGTGATATTTTGGGGAATTGATACACATTTGAAAAAAAAAGCCTTCCAAAAAATCTGCCAACACTGAAAATAGTTCAACATTAAAATAAATGCCATAAAATTTATAATTTTATCGCGTCTAATATTTTACTGGAATTATATTTAATTGTTTTTTACTCTGCTCATGTAACTGTTTTTGATGTGGGTTGTTTTTATATGATTTTTATATTGCACGTGTTTTAAACGTTCTATACTCATATCCAATGTAGTGTTTTTAAGTAAAATCCACATTGAAACTGAAATTTCAACAATTTTCAGCACTTGAAAATGGGTCGCAAACTACAAACGAAACGTTGTGTAGGAAGAAATGTGTATGGCAGGGCGGGGAGGAGAGTGATAGGGTGGGAAGGAGAGTGACAGTGGGGTGAAGAGTGACAGGGCGAGGAGAAGTGAGAGGGCTGGGAAGGAGTGTTGCAGGACGGGAAGGAGAGAGAGAACCGGGGAGGGACGGAAGGAGGAAGGACGGGAAGGGGAGGAGAAGTGAGGGGAAGATAATGAGCGAAAACACGTGGGCGAGGCAGAGCATCTGCGTGTTTTCGATGTCTCCGTCTCTTTGCAACCCGCCGTCTCTTCGTCAAGCATCGAATCAAGCTCGTCCGCGAAAACACGATTTACATCGACAGCCCGCCCCGCCCCGCCCCGCCCCGCCCCGCCGCGTCGGCGCCGTCAGATACATCTCGCTCCAAGTAAGGCCATTGCCTCCGCCATCGACGTCGCCACTCGCTGCCATCGCCGCTTGGACGGAGCGGGGCAAATAATCCTGGAGCGAACAGGCGAGCGCTGACGTCTCCTCTGAAGGCTCCAGCTCACCTTTCCCTTTCCATATGTCATCCGAGGGTCAGAGAGTACTCATCCTATTCACGATGTGGTGGATGATGTGTGTGTGTATTGGTTAAGGTTTTGTCAGTAAAAATGTGAAATTAGGGTATTTAATAACGACAAACGACATTCGAACGATTAAGCATTGCCATTGAGTACTATTTTCAATAATCCACCAACAAGATACAACAACACATACAAGTTAACATTCAAATTATATCTTTTAGGCATTAAAGGCAATAAAACAATAGTATATTTGACACACATGTGAAACAGGGGATTGTGTGAAATAATAATTCAGGGAGTATCTACTAAATGTTAGAAACGAAAATCATACCGAAATGACGACCTGTTATCTCTCAATAAATATGGGTCGAAGCATTGACAACAATTACTTCACATTATTGTTTGTAAAATACTATTTCTGCGATTGCAATCGTTACTAATGTCATTATGCCGAAGAACTAAACCAAAAAGCGAGTCATTTTTATTATCGACATGGATGATGGGTCATTCTATACTTTCCGTCCATAAATGAATACTATTTCTTGAAATAATTGTAATCATAATCGTTAGTTATAACCAATTTGTTTCGATTGTTCTTAAAAGATGCTGGCCGAGAAGAGTGCCCCTCTTTTTGGTTAAATCAATAGCAACAGTACAGTATTACGAAAAATATTGATAAGTAATTCTGTTGCTTGTTTGTTGGGGTTGCTCACTACTCCATCGCGTGTAAACTTCCAACACTTTTCTTCGAGTCGTCTAATT